TCGTTCGCTGCACCACATGCTCAACATTAAATTTTTTACTCTCAATGGCACGGCTCCTAGACTCTATTTTTCAGGGCGTTTCGCTCAGTATAGGCACGATTAATGATTGACATACGATGACGATAACGGTGTAGTAATGCTATTCATAGCTCTCGACGGCTTCGGTCATTGACAATACCGGCGCTATATTTTCTGTTTGAAAAAGCGAGTGGTCGGAGAGCGCCTAGGGAGATTGATTATCCGTCGAATGTGACCGATAAGTGTATGTGAAATGGATGTCTGTAGTTAGTCACAACTATAGTTAGACCATACCGCGCGACGTGTGTGGTTTTTGCCCCAAGAAGAATGTCTTGAACAGGGTATTCGTGCGGTTCCGCTTGACCTACAGGTGCCGACTGGGGCATGGGGTTTAATTTATACTTTAACTATCGGTCGTGGGAGCTGTGGGAGATGGGGCCCCATAGATGAGGCGGAAGACACAATCAACTATGGAGAAACTCTCCCAGGAGATGCAACCCTAGATAACTGTTGATTGTCCAGCGGGTTATTCCGGAAGATCTACTCGGAGTAGGCATCAAGCCAATGAATTTTTTCCTTCGTTCGATACTTCTCCTCATTCCAAAAATTTTGCTGGGACGTTCATGATTTTTAGGCGACGCCATATCTGAAAAGGATCCATAAGTTAAGAGTTATATGTACGTAGAAAAACCAAGAGATTTTATCTTTCCTCATCGAGGAGAGTCTCCAAATTACATATCCGGGGTCGGCGATGTACTCTTCCATAATGATCAAGATGGAAGTTCTGGGTTGGTTTGTGTGTCGCCATACATAGACGGCACTTCAAAATTTGAACCATATCAGAAGCGGGTTGTTTTGAAAATGAAAAACAAGAATTTTGGGTGATAGAATCGAGCGCCACAATATATTATTGCCACATAGTGCGCCAGGACGGATGCTGGGCTGTTCAATGCAACTTCAAGTTCACTAATTCCCAGTAATTTGGTAAATGAGAACATCATCCTAGGCTCCCATGTCCTGTGAAATGATAAGGGCTGTTTTCATGAGTGCGAAAAGAAGTGTCGGAGACGTCCTCGGGACTTCCGAGGGCTGAAGAAATTCCCTGATCGAAGAAAAAAAATATTGATGTGATCTGAGGCAGTGTGGCGGCATTTGTACTTGTCACTATTTGGTTCTAAAAGCTTCATGCATCGCGGACATCATGTAAGAGCCGATTTCTCGTGGATTTCTGAGAGATCCATACCATGAACGAGTGTTAACGATCACTGGTTCACATGGATCCATGGCTCCTTGAAATATGTTGATCCAAAATTTCCTCACTAAGTTGGTGTACACACGGCCCCATTCTGACTCCGGTTCCTGCAATGGTCAGATTCTACGTCACTGAAAGGCCAGTTTCCTTAGTAATAGCAGATTTCTGGACAAGCTTTCTCTATCGGCGCGTGCCTAAACGGCATCGAAGGTTGTGTCGTACTAGATCGTCCTGGAGTCGGTCAGCCATCCCCAGACGTTTCACCCTAGGTTCTCTATTCTCGTTTCCTCCTGCTCACGATAGAATTGATAATCTAGATTGTGTACAAAAGAGAAACTAAACCACCCACTAACCTCCGCTGCGACGTTCGGACAATCTACACATCCGCTGGCCATCAAAGGCATGGCGTAGAATTCATTCGATCGCTCCCCTAAAAATAGCCTTCCAAGCATGTGCGCCCAAGCTTCCCTGAGTTTATCTGTGCCAGCCGCCGTGGTTATATAAACTGCCACTTTGAACCCTTGTCACTTGTTCCCCCCCACGTTCGACCCAGACTCTTTCGAGCTCAACTTTCATCCTCTGACGATCTCAAAACAATGGCAGGCGGTCCAGGAGGCTCAGGTGGTGGTGTCGACTCACAATCTCTCTTTTGGGCGATTATAATGTCTGCCTTCGCCGGTGAGTTGCCCACCTCTCATAGGTGATTTCAATTTAATACGAAAGGCTTCAGCTTTCGGTGGTATCCTCTTCGGGTGAGTGCATCTCGTACACTCGAAAGGTGATTCTATGTTGACTAGAAAATAGATACGACACTGGAACGATTGGTGGCATTATCGTTATGGAGGACTGGCTCAAAAACTTTGGCTCGTTTGATTCTTCAACCGGAAAATACTACATCCCGACCAATGACCAGAGCTTGGTCGTAAGTTTCATCGTTGTTGCGACTGCACAAGTCGTTGACCTATCACCACAGGTGTCCATTCTTTCTGCCGGAACCTTCTTCGGGGCACTACTCGCTTTCCCTATGGGTGATATTGTGGGCCGAAAATGGGGTATCATCGCCTCGTGTGCCATTTTCTCTCTAGGCGTCGGCTTGCAGCTTGATACCAAGTGGGCGACATTTGTTATTGGTCGTGGTAAGAATTTTCATCAAGATAATCTCTTCATACATTATAACAACTCGTTAAGTCATTGCTGGGTTTGGAGTTGGACTTGTATCTTGCCTCGTGCCGATGTATCAATCAGAGGTTAGTATCTCGCTTACGGTTGATATAAATCACTAACTGTCCAATTTGAATAGTGTTCACCCAAGAGTATCCGTGGTTTGATCGTTGGGCTATACCAACTCGCAAGTAGGTGACTTATCTCTTGATCAGGTCGGTTTTACTCATTATTATCCATAGTTACGATCGGTGCTCTCCTCGCCGCGATCGTCCTCAATTCAACGAAGGATCACCCAAATCACAGCTCATGGAGAATTCCTATCGCTGTGCAATTTGCATGGGCTGCTATCCTTTCCTTTGGGATGGTGCGTATCTTACTTGGCCTAGTAGCTCCGCCAATAACCATTCAAATTAGTTCTGTCTTCCCGAAAGCCCTCGATTCCTTCTCAAGAGAGGTCGCGAACAAGCTGCAAGGGTCTCACTTGGTCGCCTTCTTACGAAGCCTCGTGACTCTCCTGAAGTTGACGCTGAATACGAAGAAATCTTGGCTGCGCTTGAGGCTGATCGGGCCCTAGGTGCCGGTTCCTATGCTGGTATGTTCCAGTTTTCTATCTCTTTACGCTGCAAATTTTGAATATTGGATAGATTGCTTCCGCAACACCGAGGCCAAGAACGGCTTGAGGACATGGACTGGGATTCTTCTTCAAGCCGTACGTTTTCTCCCATTCTCTTCCGATTGATTAACATTTAATGTCGCGAACAGTGGCAGCAACTCACTGGCATCAACTTCATTTGTGAGTGAAATAATGTGCTTGTCACCGCCTTTTGCTAATAACTACTTCAGTCTACTACGGGACGGTGAGGGATTCAATTTGCCCAGTTATTTGGTAATTAGTTGCTCAAATTATTTTCCGCTAGACGTTCTTCAAATCTGCTGGTATCAGCAACCCATTCATTATCACGTAAGTCCCCGCGAAGTTGCCCCGTATTCATAAAATACCGAGATTTAATGCAACCCTCAAGCATCATTTGTGACGTTGTAAATACCGCTATGACCATCGTCGGTGTTCAGCTCATCGACCGAGTCGGACGGAGACGCCTTCTCCTCATCGGTGCTGCAGGCATGTGTTTCTGCGAGTTTATCGTTGCCATTGTATGTTCCCGTATATCGCATCTTGGATTAGTTTTGACGTGTCCTGGTGATCTAGGTTGGTGTCACTGCCGGTCATATTCAACCTGACCAGTCTGTCAACCTGCCTGCCCAACGCGTGCTTATCGCGTTCGTCTGCATGTATGTCGATGCTTTCCAGTTTATCATATCTGCTTGCTGATGAAAGTCGCTGACCCAGCTATATCGCATTCTTCGCCATATCATGGGGACCGGTTGCTTGGGTCATTACTGGTGAAATCTTCGTGCGTGTGTTACCAAAGAACCGATGACACCATCCAGCTCATTGTCTCATCTTAGCCTCTCAACATCCGTGCCAAGGGTATGTCTCTCAGTGTGGCCAGCAACTGGTTGTGGAACTTTGGCATCGGTGAGAGAAACCCCCAACTTCCCAGTCTATCATTTTAAACCCTGTTGCATGTAGGTTATGCGACACCCTACCTGGTTAACCCGACGACTACGGGTCTCAACGGAGTCAAGGCCGCCAACCTCGGAGTCAAGGTGTTCTTTATCTGGGGATCCACCTGCGTTGGATGCTTCCTCTTCACGTATGCCGTATCATCATATCACCCATGCACGAGCTCATTACGTCACTGTAGATACTTCTTCATTCCCGAGACCAAGGGACTATCTCTGGAGCAAATCGATCTCCTGTATCGCGAGTCGTCTAGTACGTGCTACTTGTTCCTAGTCGCCCGATATCTTCGTCTAACCCACCCACGCAGTCATCAACTCTGAAAAGTATCGCAAGCAGATCATCGCAAGCAACGAAACGTACACGGCTCATAAGGCCGGAGTGGTGAGTGATCTGTGCTAACGGTCATCACATGGCTAAATACTAAATGTGGTGCTTGTGCAGAAATTCGATGCGGCTGACGAAGTTCACGAGAAGAGCAGTGCATAATCGTGTATCACCCTCGCAGCTTTCGAGTTGCTGTATTTTATCTATTAGTCTTTTCATTTTAATATCAATCACCACATGGAATCCCATGCATCCTGAAGCTTGGAAAAACATAAACTGTAATGCCCGGTGTGTCAGAACCTTCTAGCTGACATAAGAAACGAGATAAGATTGGAACGAGATCAGATCAAGAAACTCTGGATTCCGAGAAGATTCTGAGCACTGTGTTGATTCTACAAGGAATACAAGTAATTTAGCTAGGTTTTTATAGAAGTAAGTAAAGGAGAATGTCTGTAATATAATTAGAATAGGGATTTTTGTAAGTAAAAAAGGAGAAAATTTAGATGGGATACAGAAATATACTGAATCACTCGACGATCCGAACGGAGACATCCGAGATCGCGAGCACGAGACACGAGTGATTCCTGACACGGTGCCACTGCTCAAGCGCAAGTCACTGACAGGCACGTGAAGTCGACCCTGCAGCAAATCAAAAAGTCCGACCTGCCTGGATCGAACAGGCGGCATCGAGATAGTCGAAGATAACCATTACAGTCTCGCGCTCTACCAACTGAGCTAAGGTCGGTTGATGTATTTGTGTCATGGGATGTCGCCACATTCCTTGGCTGATGCAAAGAGATGATAACGTTGTCAGACTGTTTTCGTGCGCCACAGTGATAACATGGAATTCATAGCCTCCAATTCTAAAATATGGCCGATCGCCTCATTGCATACTACGTCGCCGTCATGTTGGGGAATAATACGATACTTACATACATTTTGTACTTGCACTTGCATGTGTTTTACATGCGTATCGTACCGGCCCTTATCTCGGGACACGATCACGTTGTGAAGAACGCGGCAATATAATGATTCAGGGGTTCTTGAGTGCACTGAGATGCCGTCCTGTTACACACCTTATTTCTTTGCCACCATACCATGTCCAGCTGGCAAACCTACTTCGCTGCACCAGTATCGCAGGGGCCGTTTTTACACGATGGACGCGAGTTTTACGTCAAGATCGACCAACATCGGCACCCGCGCACGTCCGACTCATCGCTCTACCAACTCCTAACATATACGGATCCAGGCCTCCAATATGCAAAGGCTGGGACACTTGCGAAGCGCCAGCCACAGCACAAGGACTCCCCATGGCATTTCTATCAAGCACAGTGCGTGCACTACGGGCTCCTCGCGTATAAGACAAAGCCTGCAGCTAAGAACCACCTCCTTTCTGCTTCTGAAGGTCGATCTCTGGAGGTTCCCGCGCACATCCTGGCACTCGAGAAGGAGCTCGTACGATGCTGCGAACGTGATTGCAGAGCGGAAAGCTAAGGAAGAGCGGGCTGCGAAAGAGAAGAAGGAACGAGAGGAACTGGAGGTGTCCAGGGCTGGTGCGGGAGACATGCTGAAAGAGTTTGCAGTCTTGGGTATTGTTATCAGCCGCCGTGCAATCAAAGGGCCTATTGACGGCGATAACGAGGCACCACCTATCAAGGCACCCACGGAGATCACAAATGCTGAGCTCCGCGATGAGATCGCATCTCTTTCAGAGGCGCAACTCCGTTCCATGATGGAGAAACTGGTCTTCGACGAAAATGCCTCTGCTTTTAGAAAGGCGGCAGTCAAGGAGTTGGGTGCGTTGAAGAAGAAGGCCGAAGCCGCTGCCGCAAAAGGAAAAAAACCAAGGTCACGAGAAACCCAAGGTAAGTATCCTTCTACGGAATATCAACAGAAATGTCGCTAAGGTATCGCCTTCAGAGATTGCGACCAGACAGTAGTGGGAAATTCACCATCGTAGCCCCATATCTCCAAGACGAGTGGGGAAGCTTCGGGGGTGATATAAAGCTTAGAATGTCTGCTTCGCGTGTTCCCACCTCTGGGTATGGTTCAACTGTGGCATCATTTCTGGTTTCATGCGTTCGATTGGCCGCCTACCTAAACGCGTTGGTGATTCGACCCGCTTTCTGTGGCGCGGTCGAGAGGCAGGAGAAGGCGTAATGACCTAGGGAGGCAATAACGCAGCGAGTATTAAACACATTGGAGAGGGCAGAATTTGCGGAAAGATGCGTTGGAATGGCCAGGTCTTCGAGTTCATCGGCAAGAACGTACCGATACCAAATGTGGTGTGGAGCAGCAGCGTCGAGCTCCAGTGGAAGGGCAACTACTGGGGTATCAACGATAATGCTTATGAGCGCGAGAATAAGGCGAGATGGGGTGGCTGGCATCCAGAAGTTTCTGACAACGAGTCAAATTCCGACACTGTGGGGGATGCTTATGCTATAAATTCCAACGAAGAGGACGAACGGGATTCAGATCAGTCCGATGACTCCCAGTATTAGTATTCCATGTCGATTTTCACTATAATCAATTCAGTTCCACTTGCCTGAAACTACTCCTCACTCGAAGCGAAACTTTATGATCCACGAAGTCACATCACCAGATCTGATCAGATGACCGTTACAGCCTCGCAATCTAAAAACTGGGCTAAGTTCGGCTGATAAACACAGATGATTACAGTATCATTTCGAAATTTCGTGCGCCACACTGATAAATCGTTTTTTTTTGCCAAATAAATCCCCTTATCACAGTCTCTTTCTCGCCCAAAAAATTATATATATTTTCTAATCTGGCGCTACGTGTACTGGACTTTACCCCGGATCGTGGTCGCGTTTTTGGAAAACGAGGTAATATAATTCAGGGCTAGCTTAGACGCCGCCTTGTTACGCACTAACTCATTCCAGACCATGTCCAACTGTCAAACATACTTGGCTGCACCAGTGTCCTGAGAGCATTTCTTGCATGACGGACGCGAGCTATACGTTACGATTGACCGACATCGGCACCCTCACGCGTCCACCTCATCGCTCCTCCAACTCCTAAGCACAAAGGCTGGAAAGCCCGCGAAGCACCGGTCAGATAAAAAGGACTCGCCATTGCATTTCTACCAAGCGCAGTGCGTGCACTATGGGCTGCTTGGATACAAGACAAAGCCTGCGGCTAAGAAGCGCCTCCTTTTTGCTTTGGAGTCAGCTGGTGGAACACTAAAGATTCCAGCGCACGTCCTGGCACTCGATGAGGGGATAAAGGCAGACTACGAAGCTGTGAATGTGATGGCTGAGAGAAAGGCAACGAAAGTGCTGGCCTCGAAGGAGAAGAAAGAGCGAGAGGAGCTGGAGGCAGCTAGGGCCAGTGCGGGAAACATACTAAAAGAGTTTGCGGCCTTGGTGGTTATTATCAGCCGCGGCTCAACCAAAGGACCAATTGACGGTGACAAAGAGGTAGCACCTCCCAAGGCATCCAAGGTGGTGACTAATGCTGAGCTGCGTAAAGAGATCGCATCTCTTTCAGAGGCGCAACTACGTTCCATGGTGGAGAAGTTCGTTTTCGACCTGAAATCTTATCCTCAGAGATTAAGACCAGATGACGATGGGGAATTTACTATCGTAGCCCCCTATCTCCAAGACCAGTGTGGGAGCTACCGCAGGGATATGAAGCTCGTAACGTCCACTTCACGCGGTGAGTCCCACCTCTGGGTGTGGTTTAACTTTGGCGTTATTTCTGGTGTCATGCGTATGCCGTTTTTACGGCGATTTTGTACTATAATCACGACTAGCTCCCCCAGACTTGTGGGAAAGGCTCAGAATTATGAGATGCATATTCTGCAAAGAAATCAGTGAAAATAAAAGATCTACTCATTGGATTTATGCTTTGAAAGTCCCAAAGCACCCGCGTACAAAGGATTCATTCAACCTGTGGCGCAATTTAGCCGACACGTCGGAACACGGTCACGTTCCTGTACGCGCCTGATTACAAAAGGGGCGGTATCCGGATTCAGGTACTTTATCATCTTGGTTGACTCCTTAAAATTTAACCACCACCATGTTCAGCTGGCAAGGAAAGGTTTCTCGGGACAGTTTCACTTACGATGGGAGCTCATTCTACGTCGAGGTCGATCAGCACCGACATCCACGCGCATCTCCCACCTCTCTCCACGCGCTCTTGACGTACGTCGATCCCGCCCCGCTGCTCACTAAGAAGGGCACCGTGGCCAAGCGTCAGCCCAAATCACACCCAGACCCGCCAGCGCACTACTACCAGGCGCAGTGCATCCATCACGGCTTACACGCTTACAAGCAGCGGCCTGCGGCGAAGAAACACCTCCTCGCTGCGTTCGAGAGTGGCAAGGGCACGATTATAGTTCCGGAGCGCGTCCAGGCGCTGGAGAAGGAGATGATGGCGGAGTACGAGGCGGCGCACGCGGTTGCACAGCAGCAGATGGAGGAGGCATGGGCGGCTGAGGAGAAGAGATACGCTGCGGCACGGAGGGAGTGGGAGGATGAGTTTGAAGCGGAACGAATCAGGCAGAGCGAGGAGGTGGGTCGGATGGTGCAGGATTTTGCGGCGGCCGGAATCCGCATTCAACTTGGAAGGATTAATGGGTCGGATAGCGATAACGAGGCGGCCCCCACAAGGGCTGCCAAGAATGCAAAGCTACGCAATGATATTGCAGAGACGCAGCTGCGCGCGATTGTCGAGAAATTAGTTTTCGAGAAGAAAGCCCGACTCATGAAGAAGGCGATGTCAAGGGAGGTAAACGCGCTAGGAAATGTGGCCGAGGCTGCTGCCAAGGTACAGGCAAAGACCAATAAAAATAATCTGGTGAGTTAATCTACGCGAGATACCAAGTGCGTTGAACTATAAAAAATCCATCTTTTAGAAACGCCTGGCAGACCTGCCGACTAAGGATGATGAAGGAACGTACAAAATCGTGGCCCCATACGTGCTGGAGGGCTGGGGCGACCCTACTCGGATAATGACGTTCGAGATGACAGCCTCTCATGGCAATTCGCACTTCTGGGTATCGTTCCAATTCGGGGTCATATCAGGTGTCATGCGATCGTACGGCGCGCCACCCGTATATATAGGTGATAAAGTCCGCTTCCATTGGCGAGGCCGCGATGATGGCACAGGCGAGACGACTTATGACAGACAGAATACCGCGAGTATCATTTTCCTAGGGAAGGAAGAATCCGCGGGCGCATGAGATGGGGTTCGTTGGAAAGAAAGCGAAGAAAATGACCACGGCGTATCGATTAGGAAACCGCTGGGATGGAAGAGCGATTATTGGGCTATAAATGCTCGTTCATATGAGTGTGCAAGCCGGGCAGAATGGGGTGGGTACAACTGGGGAGGCGACACCGAATTATCTTCTAACACTGACACAGACTCACATCACAACTCAGAGGAAGAGGATGGCTTTGGGGACGGTGAAGATGAGGCTAGGTGAATTATGCTCCGTGTATAAAATGATTTAGTCTTGAGATTCGCAATCAGAGATGTATAGCGGCCTAGTACCTGTGAATTAGAATCGTTACCGTCAGCTTCTCCAAATTTCAGGCAAGCTGTCAGAGATTCTCTACAGGCTGGTCACGAGCCTACCTGGGAATAGCCAGTCCCGTTGAAATATAAGGGTTCAGCTTGTAACTCTTAAAAGTGTTCTGCGAGCTCAGATTTGCCCACTCCTTGATCTGAGGGCCAAGTTAAAATTATACCGTTACTTGGATAAAATGTCTCACAGAAAAA